CTCGACACACCAGGGCCTCCAGTCAGTCACACACCAGCCTCAAGCACCCACCCACCCCCGCCCGCAACTACGTCAACAGAGAGAGAGGGAAATACTGTGCTCCCATAAAGAGTGGGGGGGAGGGAGGGAGGGGGGAGAGGGGGGTGCGTGGTGGCACTCATCTTGAACCCCGTCCAACAGGCCCGGGCCAGAGCACATTGGGCTCACCGCCGCCCGGCCATAGGGCCCACACTCGCCTCCCCTCCGCTGTTGCCAAGCCCCCCCGATATCAAGACATGAATAATTGATAACATATTTGCACCATGCAGACCGCAGCTCGGGGCCCAGGTGTCGTACCGCATGACCTCCTTCCCTCCCCACACCTAGCCACCTCACACACCTCCCCCTCCACACACCAGCTGGTTGATACCTGGTTGATACCTGGTTGATGGGGTTCTGGGAGTTCTTCTACTCCCCAAGCCCGGCCCGAGGCCAGGCTCGACTTGTGAGAGTTTGGTCCACCAGGCTGTTGCTTGGAGCGGCCCGCAGGGCCACGTACCCACCACAGCCCGGCTGATCCGGAACTTCTCTTAGAAAACCGTCCAGTTTTCTCTTGAAGATGTCCACGGTTGTTCCGGCAATATTTCTTATGCTCGCTGGGAGGACGTTGAACAACCGCGGACCCCTGATGTTTATACAGTGCTCTCTGATTGTGCCTATGACACCTCTGCTCTTCACAGGTTCAATCTTGCATTTTCTTCCATATCGTTCACTCCAGTACGTTGTTATTTTACTGTGTAGCTCTCTCTCTCTCTCTCCTCTACAGTGTACACAACACTGTAGAGGACTTCGCAACACAAGCACGACTTCACCTTCAGCAGGCGGCGGCCCCCAGATGACAACATCATGCCGTTATCAGCAAGACTTTAGCTGGTTACCCTTCCTCACGTGTGATTGGCTGCTCACAGCTAGCAGGGTACGAACAGTCCTTCAACCCCCCCTCCCTCCCTCCCCCCCTCCATCACCCCCCACCCTATCCTATCTCCCAGCCCTCCCCCCCTGCATCACCCCCACCCTATCCTATCTCCCAGCCCCCCTCCCTCAACCCATTCCCAGCACCCACCCCCCACACATAATGTCTTACATCCGCGCTACACTGTAACAAAACCTCCGGCATGAGGTACACACACAACCATGCTGTACCTTCGCGGTACACTGTAAACACTGCATGTTACACTGCTCCCGTATCACGGTACACTGTCTGACACAACGGTACACCACCCCACACACGCCACAGGTATACTGTTTAACCCAACACACAAAAAAAAACACTGCTTTTAAACCAAGGAACATTAGCATCAAATCGCGTTACCCCCGTACAGCGGCACTAAGCCTGGTCCCGGCCCAATGCTAGATGTAGTCTTTGTTCAAGATTTTGCATAGAAGAAAAAGTATTTTGGATTCCTCTGTTTCCCTGATAGTCATTTGCTCTCTCTGTCTCTCCTGGATATTATGCCTCCCAACTCCCCCCAACTTGGCTGAAAAATCACTCACACCTCACGACGTCCACATTCAAATCCCGCCTCTATTGTCCTCAACACACACTACCATTGACTTAAAAAAAAAGCTGAATTATCTTTAGACATGTAACAACCCCTTTTTAAACTGCAACAGTCTAGGCCGGGCCGATTCTAACTGCCACGAGCTGTCTCTAACAAGTGTTGTTGTTGTTGTTTTAGCTACTCGGAGCGAAATGTCCATGTAGCACGGGCTATGGTGAGCCCGTAGTCTGATCTAAGAAGTGTACACGCGCGAAATTTATAGTCCTCATCTCCTAAGATCCTCTCCACCCAACTATCCCCCCCCCCACCACCACTACTAACCCCACTAATATATAATAAATACAAAGTTAAAAAATAACAACAAAATATCTTTTCCAATCCTGAAAGCCAGCAGACCAGCCCTAGGGTGGCCACACCACCCTTGGCACACCAGCAGACCAGCCCTAGGGTGGCCACACCACCCTTGGCACCCCAGCAGACCGGCCCTAGGGTGGCCACACCACCCTTGGCACCCCAGCAGACCGGCCCTAGGGTGGCCAACACCACCCTTGGCACCCCAGCAGACCGGCCCTAGGGTGGCCACACCACCCTTGGCACACCAGCAGACGCACAGTTGACTAAATGTGAACTGTCAGGAATAACTGTTGATGCCTCCTGCATCACTGTAGTGTAGCGTGATAAAGGTCAAGAGACGAAGCTTATCAACAAATGCTCGGTGTCTAAGTACTCAATACAATTGGAACTGTGTACAACCAACATCTTGACCAAGCCATCCTAGTCTGCCCCGCCGACAGCCTTAAGGACAAATTCGACAAACAAATCGAAAGTCATGGTGGTTCAATTATAAGGTACAACGAGGCCAGTTGGCGAGGCAGAAAGACCTTGATCTCACTCCCGCGTAATCACTGATGGGTAGGTCAGTTCGGTAGGTAGGTCATGCATTACTGAACCACCACCTCTTGCCCCGTCACCCGCTGGGAGGAGGAGGGCGGCGGCGGCGGCGTGGGGTGCATGACAGGTAAATGAAAACTCTGTTCGCAAGCTCCTGGCGGGCCGCTGCAAGCAACAGTCTTCTAGATCACGATATCACAAGTCAAGCCTGGCCCCAGGCCGGGCTGGGGGAGAGTGAAACAACTCCCAGAACCCACTCCAGGTATACACATGTGAATTATTTACCTTCAAGGACATGCTGGTCTCAATTTGTGAGGGGCATTATGAGGCAGCTTCCCGCCAGGACTGGAGGACGGGGGAGGTCACTCCTCAGGTCAACAGGGTCACACAACAATCCCCACATACATAAAATATGATAACATTACCTGTGAGGTCGTCAATCCTGCCTCCTCTTGCTCACCGTTCCGTACCACTTACCCCACTATTCCCTCTCCCTTACCCACCATTCCCTTCCCCTCCAACATCCTCTAACTAACCAGTCGTCCACCTAACTCTCCTGGAAGTATAGAGCCACGATGCTCTAGCTCCAGGAGGTAGTGCCTCCCACCATCCCCAGGGGCAACACAGCCCCTAGAGGGAACCTGATCAACAGCGTGTCTAATGGGGAAAAGATCGAACGTGCGTGTGTGTGGCCAGAGAAAAAGTCAAGGGGAGGCATGATCAGGACCCAATAATAAGAACCTTACCTTCACACTGCTTGCCCACCTTCCCGCTTCCCCAGATGTAGTCTTGACCTGCGAAAGATAAATAATATATGAGAAACAGCCAGTTCAGTATACACGCAAAGTTTAGGTAAGGTGCCGGCAGGCAGATAAAGAACAGTTAGTTAAGGCAGCGTCTGGGATGTTCTCGGACGCAGGTTCGAATCCTCGTCACGGCCCTTGTGGATTTGTTCAACAGTTAGTTTCCTATCTAGAAGCAACAATTTCAAAGAACAATTAGCTCCTCGGCATCAGAGTTTTAAATCGCGAAATTTGCCCATTTCAAACAAAAACCTATTCCTTTGGTGTAATCAAACTCAGGTGTATCTGATTTAGTTGTAATGTATCCAGCGTATGTGTACCACCTACACTTAACTATGCTTAGAGCTAGTGTAGCCGTGCTAGATGTAGCTGCACCTGATGTAGTGGTGGCAGGGTGTAGTGGTGGCAGGGTGGAGTAGTGGCAGGGTGGAGTAGTGGCAGGGTGGAGTAGTGGCAGGGTGGAGTAGTGGCAGGGTGGAGTGGTGGCAGGGTGGAGTGGTGGCAGGGTGGAGTAGTGGCAGGGTGGAGTAGTGGCAGGGTGGAGTAGTGGCAGGGTGGAGTAGTGGCAGGGTGGAGTGGTGGCAGGGTGGAGGGTGGCAGGGTGGAGTGGTGGCAGGGTGGGTGGCAGGGTGGAGTAGTGGCAGGGTGGAGTAGTGGCAGGGTGGAGTAGTGGCAGGGTGGAGTAGTGGCAGGGTGGAGTAGTGGCAGGGTGGAGTGGTGGCAGGGTGGAGTGGCAGGGTGGAGTAGTGGCAGGGTGGAGTAGTGGCAGGGTGGAGTAGTGGCAGGGTGGAGTAGTGGCAGGGTGGAGTAGTGGCAGGGTGGAGTGGTGGCAGTGGCAGGGTGGAGTAGTGGCAGGGTGGAGTAGTGGCAGGGTGGAGTAGTGGCAGGGTGGAGTAGTGGTGGCAGGGTGGAGTGGTGGCAGGGTGGAGGGTGGGGTGGAGTGGTGGCAGGGTGGAGTGAGTGGCAGGGTGGAGTAGTGGCAGGGTGGAGTAGTGGCAGGGTGGAGTAGTGGCAGGGTGGAGGGTGGAGTGGTGGCAGCAGGGTGGGTGGCAGTAGTGGCAGGGTGGAGTAGTGGCAGGGTGGAGTAGTGGCAGGGTGGAGTAGTGGCAGTGGCAGGGTGGAGTAGTGGCAGGGTGGAGTAGTGGCAGGGTGGAGTAGTGGCAGGGTGGAGTGGTGGCAGGGTGGAGTGGTGGCAGGGTGGAGTGGTGGCAGGGTGGGTAGTGGCAGTGGCAGGGTGGCAGGGTGGAGTGGCAGGGTGGAGTGGTGGCAGGGTGGAGTGGTGGCAGGGTGGAGTGGTGGCAGGGTGGAGGGTGGCAGGGTGGAGTGTGGCAGGGTGGAGTAGTGGCAGGGTGGAGTAGTGGCAGGGTGGAGTGGTGGCAGGGTGGAGTGGTGGCAGGGTGGAGTAGTGGCAGGGTGGAGTGGTGGCAGGGTGGAGTGGTGGCAGGGTGGAGTGGTGGCAGGGTGGAGTGGTGGCAGGGTGGAGGGTGGAGGTGGCAGGGTGGAGTGGAGTGGTGGCAGGGTGGAGGGTGGAGGGTGGCAGGGTGGAGTGGTGGCAGGGTGGAGTAGTGGCAGGGTGGAGTGGAGCAGGGTGGAGTGGTGGCAGGGTGGAGTGGTGGCAGGGTGGAGTAGTGGCAGGGTGGAGCAGGGTGGCAGGGTGGAGTGGAGGTGGCAGGGTGGAGGGTGGAGTAGTGGCAGGGTGGAGTAGTGGCAGGGTGGAGTAGTGGCAGGGTGGAGTGGTGGCAGGGTGGAGTGGTGGCAGGGTGGAGTGGTGGCAGGGTGGAGTGGTGGCAGGGTGGAGTAGTGGCAGGGTGGAGTAGTGGCAGGGTGGAGTAGTGGCAGGGTGGAGTGGTGGCAGGGTGGAGTAGTGGCAGGGTGGAGTAGTGGCAGGGTGGAGTGGTGGCAGGGTGGAGTAGTGGCAGGGTGGAGTAGTGGCAGGGTGGGAGTGGCAGGGTGGAGTGGCAGGGTGGAGTAGTGGCAGGGTGGAGTGGTGGCAGGGTGGAGTGGTGGCAGGGTGGAGTAGTGGCAGGGTGGAGTAGTGGCAGGGTGGAGTGGTGGCAGGGTGGAGTAGTGGCAGGGTGGAGTGGTGGCAGGGTGGAGTGGTGGCAGGGTGGAGTGGTGGCAGGGTGGAGTAGTGGCAGGGTGGAGTAGTGGCAGGGTGGAGTGGTGGCAGGTGGAGTAGTGGCAGGGTGGAGTGGTGGCAGGGGGGAGTGGTGGCAGGGTGGAGTGGTGGCAGGGTGGAGTAGTGGCAGGGTGGAGTGGTGGCAGGGTGGAGTGGTGGCAGGGTGGAGTGGTGGCAGGGTGGAGTGGTGGCAGGGTGGAGGAGTGGCAGGGTGGAGTGGTGGCAGGGTGGAGTGGTGGCAGGGTGGAGTGGTGGCAGGGTGGAGTGGTGGCAGGGTGGAGTGGTGGCAGGGTGGAGTGGTGGCAGGGTGGAGTGGTGGCAGGGTGGAGTAGTGGCAGGGTGGAGTGGTGGCAGGGTGGAGTGGTGGCAGGGTGGAGTGGTGGCAGGGTGGAGTGGTGGCAGGGTGGAGTGGTGGCAGGGTGGAGTGGTGGCAGGGTGGAGTGGTGGCAGGGTGGAGTGGTGGCAGGGTGGAGTGGTGGCAGGGTGGAGTAGTGGCAGGGTGGAGTGCAGGGCAGGGTGGAGTGGTGGCAGGGTGGAGTGGTGGTGGCAGGGTGGAGTGGTGGCAGGGTGGAGTGGTGGCAGGGTGGAGTAGTGGCAGGGTGGAGTGGTGGCAGGGTGGAGTGGTGGCAGGGTGGAGTGGTGGCAGGGTGGAGTGGTGGCAGGGTGGAGTGGTGGCAGGGTGGAGTGGTGGCAGGGTGGAGTAGTGGCAGGGTGGAGTGGTGGCAGGGTGGAGTGGTGGCAGGGGCAGTGGGTGGAGTAGTGGTGGCAGGGTGGAGTAGTGGCAGGGTGGAGTGGTGGCAGGGTGGAGTGGTGGCAGGGTGGAGTAGTGGCAGGGTGGAGTGGTGGCAGGGTGGAGTAGTGGCAGGGTGGAGTGGAGTGGTGGCAGGGTGGAGTAGTGGCAGGGTGGAGTAGTGGCAGGGTGGAGTAGTGGCAGGGTGGAGTGGTGGCAGGGTGGAGTGGTGGCAGGGTGGAGTGGTGGCAGGGTGGAGTAGTGGCAGGGTGGAGTAGTGGCAGGGTGGAGTCGTATTCAGCGAACTCCAGATAATATTTACGCCTCAGTGCGATTACTTCAAGCATTTTACAGACCCACGATTTTCTGGAGTGGAGGAGGAAGATGGGATGGGGAGAGGGAGGGGGGAAGGAGAGGGGGGAAAGGAGGGGGAGGGAAGGAAGGAGGGAGAGAGAAAGAGAGAAGGGGGGAATGGGGGGGGGGAGGAAAAAAATAGGGGGTAGGTCATAGACATAAATAATTCCTCAAGAATGGCAACAGACACACCGACCAGTAAGAGAGAGACTCACAGGTACAAGATCATTTATTTTTTCGTCAATTATTTACTTCAAGACGCGACCTTAAGCGAGACGTGCAAGCTATTTATATTAAATAACTGAGTAAAAGGACAAAGGTCAAGAGACGGCTTGAGGAAAGTACCAGCACACGAGAACATCAGTACCATTATAACTTACATTTTATACACACACACATTATATATATATATATATATATATATATATATATATATATATATATATATATATATATATATATATATATATATATATGCAAACAAGCCTGAATGGTCCCCAGGTCTATATACAACTGAAAACTCACACCCAGAAGTGACTCGAACCCATACTCCCACAACTGGTATGTACAGGGACGCCTTAATCCGCTTGACCATCACGACCGGACATAAGGAAGTGATAGCCGAGGCTATATGAACCACTTCCCCGCCGGCACTCGGATGGTAATCTTGGGCATAGCATTTTATCAAATCACCTCATTCTTTGGGGCACACGTGAGGAACACAAATGCAAACAAGCCTGAATGGTCCCCAGGTCTATATACAACTGAAAACTCACACCCCAGAAGTGACTCGAACCCATACTCCCACAACTGGTGGGAGTATGGTCAAGCGGATTAAGGCGTCCCTGTACATACCAGCACGTGTGCCCCAAAGAATGAGGTGATTTGATAAAATGCTATGCCCAAGATTACCATCCGAGTGCCGGCGGGGAAGTGGTTCATATAGCCTCGGCTATCACTTCCTTATGTCCGGTCGTGATGGTCAAGCGGATTAAGGCGTCCCTGTACATACCAGTTGTGGGAGTATGGGTTCGAGTCACTTCTGGGGTGTGAGTTTTCAGTTGTATATAGACCTGGGGACCATTCAGGCTTGTTTGCATTTGTGTTCCTCACGTGTGCCCCAAAGAATGAGGTGATTTGATAAAATGCTATGCCCAAGATTACCATCCGAGTGCCGGCGGGGAAGTGGTTCATATAGCCTCGGCTATCACTTCCTTATGTCCGGTCGTGATGGTCAAGCGGATTAAGGCGTCCCTGTACATACCAGTTGTGGGAGTATGGGTTCGAGTCACTTCTGGGGTGTGAGTTTTCAGTTGTATATAGACCTGGGGACCATTCAGGCTTGTTTGCATTTGTGTTCCTCACGTGTGCCCCAAAGAATGAGGTGATTTGATAAAATGCTATGCCCAAGATTACCATCCGAGTGCCGGCGGGGAAGTGGTTCATATAGCCTCGGCTATCACTTCCTTATGTCCGGTCGTGATGGTCAAGCGGATTAAGGCGTCCCTGTACATACCAGTTGTGGGAGTATGGGTTCGAGTCACTTCTGGGGTGTGAGTTTTCAGTTGTACAGTATATAGACCTGGGGACCATTCAGGCTTGTTTGCATTTGTGTTCCTCACGTGTGCCCCAAAGAATGAGGTGATTTGATAAAATGCTATGCCCAAGATTACCATCCGAGTGCCGGCGGGGAAGTGGTTCATATAGCCTCGGCTATCACTTCCTTATGTCCGGTCGTGATGGTCAAGCGGATTAAGGCGTCCCTGTACATACCAGTTGTGGGAGTAT